GCCCCCTCTATAGTTGTACAGTCCTCCTCAGTAATGTCAAGGTGGACTCCATAAATGATACCCCTAACAGAAGGTGGGGGTACGTCTTGAATCTGGGATCGTATTTTATATCCACAGATGGTTTTTGTGCTAGACAATAGTCTTGATTGTGAATAGGAACAAATGATTTTTAGACGATCCGTTTGAAGTTGGATTTTGTCAGTGGGCCCAATGATATAATTAAGGGCTCTACTTAAGAGCATTGGATTGACCTTCACAATACTAACGTCCGGCGATGTTACAAAAACTATTTGTTTTCTATCTGGAGTCGACTTTTTGTGTCCGATGGATTCGACACTTAATCCTAAATCGGATTTCACTCGTTTGCCGGCACAATCTCTATCAAATTCCATGTCGTGCGACACGCTAACTGGGCCAGAAGTGGCCGACCCATTCACCCATCGTCGAGGGTCATCCACGTCCTTCCCTCCTCTCTCAATATGACTGCTAGCCCGTTCACTTTTTCGTGGCATTGTTCACTACCAATCTCGCTCGAACTCGAATCACTCCTAACTTCCTCACCTGATCATATGATCATCAACACCGGATTCTAACCTCGCGATTCGGGTTCATATAATGGATCAGACAAGTTTAATCCAGCCAAGAACATCTAAACCGGTGTATCCCTATATAATAAGCCTTAAGTCTTACGGGTGAAACCATGGTGGAGGGGGGGGGCAGTGAAAACAAGTTGGCTACAGAATTAAAAATAGCTGATATTTTATATAGTGTAATTAATACTAATTTACGATTAGAGCAATTATCAAATGTTTCATTCTTTGGGCATCTCAGGCATAATAACTTGATCATAGTTTGTGTTGCAGTGGTGTTGTTGGCAGGTTCTTAGCTTTGGTTTCATTTTTGAATTAACGAGGCTTCTTTATTCCCTAGCGTCCATTCATTTTTCACCGAGTCTATATTATATTAAAGTGTTTGATGTTTGGCTTTTCGCGACAATTACTAACCCGGATAAAAAAAATGGATTGTAATTGTAATAAACAAAAATACCTTAGTAAAGTCTATGTTGTTTTAACTGATTCTAGTATGGAGTGACGTAACTATCATGTTTGTTTTTGTTTGTTTGAATTTATGCACAAAGCTACACAATGGGCTTTCTGTGCTCTGCCCACCACGGGTATCGAAACCCGGTTTCTAGCGTTGTAAGTCCATAGACATACTGCTCTGCCACTGGGGGGCACGTAATATCATGTAACAAAGACCGCAAAACAATGTGACCTAATGAAAGCTAGGCAATAAAGCAATTTAATTCTTTGCTTATGTTTTTTAGGGAGGCCTTTATAAATTTTAATGGTGGGGGGGCAAAAATCGTAATTACACCACTCCAGTATGTTTAAAAATATGACAAAGATCCCTCCAAACAGTGGGAGAAAAACTTCAAAGACTCCTATCAAAACTTAAAAAAATATATCTGATCAAGTATACAACCAGATTAGACCTGTGGAAGCACCCAGTGGTATTCTATACGGTCTGCCTAAACTACATAAAGTAGATGCACCGATCTAATACGGAGCACAGTTAAAACTACCTAGTTTTTAGTAAGTTGTTACTTCTGTTTAACAAGAATGACTTTACTGTCAAAGATTCATTTGATTTCATCAAACAAATGAATTTTGATCAATCTGTATACCTCACCAGTTTTTACATAGTCATTATATACTAATATCCCACTTGATGAAGCAATCAAATTAATGGCTAGGTAAAAATAAATTTACGAAATTGATTCCAAAGCATTTCACTTTGCACTTAATAATAAGACATATGATCAAATTGACGGTCTGGCTATATATTCACCATTGCTGTAATTTTAGCTAATTTATTTTTGTCTCATCACGAAACTAATTGTTCGTAGTCCTATCCATCCGAAT